GGGAGGCGCTATGCCCCAAAGGAGGGAGGGAGGGAGGGAGACAGGGGATGTGGGGATCTGGATGTAAGCTGAATGGTATAGGAAGAGAGAGGCGGTTTAGGCAGTATTCACTGTAGTCTTAATTTGAAAACATAAATATTAAAATAATAATCTTAACATGAATGTATATCCATTCAAATGCCTTTCTGTTTTTCTGAGGAGTACAGTGAAGCCCAGTAGACTCATGGAGTCCCAAATTCTGTAGTTAAAAAACACAGAGAGAGTGATCAAACCAGAGACCTCCCTAAACTATTGCTTTCCTTCATTCTCTTGTAGTCAATCGTGCCCCTGTCAGGATGCTTGGATACAGGTTGTGGGATCCTTTCCGGCTGGCTGTGTTATATTTATCTAGACCAGTGACTCTGGACAGCAAATAGGCTTTGTTAGAATGGACAGTATTGTGTCTACACAGTAGCTGGGGATTACCTATTGAGAAAATACAAACACCATAAATATCTAGGGACAGGTTGAATACATTCCTTGAGTCAAATCCAGATGTTGTACTATCTGGAAGTAGATAGGCATTGTCAGAAGTCCAGCCTACAAGTGAAACAAAGGTACTGTCAGAAAAAAGAATCTGAGTTGAGTTGCAGTTGTAAATACATACAGCTAAGTCAATACATTCAGTTAAGTCTCTTGTGATTTTAGGTCAGTAGCAAGAATCGCCTTGCCTACACATGGACTCTTCATCAAATCATGCTGGGAAACCTGGTGATCCACATGTACAGAAAGAATCTTGATTCTACCTGCATTGTTGAAGCACATCTTTAGTCGCAGCACTCTTGAGGCAGGGACTCAAAAGACAGAGGAAGCGGCAGAGGCAGAGTCTAGCAGATCACTGAGTTCAAGGCTAACCTGGTCTATGATGTTATTACCAGGACATATAGTGCTGTGGAGAGAAGTCTCTCTCAAGGAACTAAAAGAAAGTGAATAAAGGTCACCCTGCGAATATCCAATGCCACTTCCCCAGAGATCAAAGTTCAATAAACTCTTGTAATAATAGAGTACAGAGTAGCAGGAAGAGTTGACAGAGTTCAGGGGAGGCCAGTTTTCTTCTCTCACTTCCCCCACAAGAGGTGAAAGCCCTTCCCGGACTCCTGCGTGTGCATGCTGGGGTGGGTTCGAGGATTCTTATAGATGTGGTGGCTGAGCACAGGTGGATTCCTCCTCCTTTTGTTCCTGGGATGGTGTCCTTCTCTTCTGACTTGACTCTTCCTAAACTGCTTCAGCTCCTCTGTTTTCTTGAAGCTGTTTCCTCTGGTCCTCTTGGTTTTGTCTTGCTCATGAGCCCCAGCTTATTCCCTCCTGATGACTATGGAGTCTTTGGATAAGGATGCTGTGCATCTCTGAATATGTTTAATACATTGAGTTATTTGAAAAATTGTGGAAGGTGAATATCTGGCCCCGGTGTAGTCATGTCAGCAAAGTCTATGCTGGAGACCATCACAGTGTGCAGGTGCCAGGCTCATGATGGCCAAAGGTGCTGCTTAGCAAGAGACATGGTCAACAGCACGCTTCTGCCTCAGGGTGTTAGTGTCAGTAAAGCACAGCGTGTGCTGCAAGTTGGGGTGTGCTAAAGGGAGAAGTGATGGGACTAGGTTTCCTGTGTGCCTTTAAGGGATCCTTAAGCATTGATAGATTGGCTGTCGTCTAATTCACATTGTTTTCTTTTTTTTTCCGCCTAGGATGAGAGCTGTTGGCAAGGCCAGGAATTTGGGAGACCTTTGGATAGGGGCAGTCAATGACCTGTCCCTATCAACAGGTGGCATCCTCATCTGTGAATCCAGGGTGGAATACTAGCAACATTGTGGACTGCAACTGATGGACTGTCTGTCCTGAGGTGTCAGTCCCAGGGACACCCCCTTCTCCAACACTGAAAAAGAGTCAAGGAAGAAGTTAGTGACTGGTAAGTGAGATGCTCCCCTCCTTCTGTGCCCTCTCCACTTAGGCCCTTATAGTGATGGGGAAGGCGTTCCTATGATCTCTGTTTGAGTAGCAATTTTTCAGAACAATGAACCTGTGTTGAATTACAGTTGTAAGCGCAAGCAGTTCAGCCTCTGTGACTTTTGGTAGCTATCAAAAATGTACTGTTGCTAACATACATCCTCACATAATCATGGTGGGGAAATCGGTGACCCACATATACAGAAAGGAAGGTGCTTTCACCTGGGATTTTGGTGCATTCCTTTAGTCCCAGCACTCTTGAGGCAGGGACACAGGCAAAGGCATTACAAAGGCAGTGTCAGGCAGATCTTTGTGATTTCAAGGCTAGCCTGATTAGCGAGGTCAGTTCCCAAATATTCAGTGATATGAAGAGAAACATTGTCTCAAGAAACTAAACTTATATATAAATTAATTCTATTTCTTATGTGCCACCCCATACAAGGTTAATGCCATATGCCTCAGAGGACAATGTGTTACAAACTCTGAAACAGTTAGAGCACAGAATAGTACAAGGAGGTTAAGATTCAGGGACAGGTCAGGATGGAGGAAAATATCAGGCGATCAAATGTCAGTCCATTATGTGTACTCAACTCGGGTTCGATGAGATGGCTCCTTAGAGAAGAACACTTGATTTTCTCGCAGAATCCCCAGGTAGAATTCAGAGCACCTCATGATGGTTTTCAGTCTCTCTTAATTACAGACTCCAGAGAACTGATGCCCAGGTTTGGCCTCTCTGGGCACTCCATACATTTGTTACGCAGTAGTTCATGTGGACAACACACACACACACACACACACACACACACACACACGAAAAACAAACATGTTAAATGGATAATTTCAAAGATTGATACAATTTGAGATAAACCCAGTAATCCAAATCAACCCATCTCAGAAAGATACTCCGCCTTGTAGAATTTCTTTCAAGGTAGGATCTTGATTATGCACACATGGACCCTATGTTTCATATCATGAAATGCAGGCAGAGTACTGATGTCTAAAGGGCTCGTGTTTGAGGTTTGAAACGGGAGGAGATGTGGCGACAGCAGTAGTGTGTTCACTTTACAGTATGCACTCTAGGAAACTTACCATGTTCAGTAACTCTGACGTGAATAATCAGACAGAAATCACATTAATTACAGTACTGTTCGGCCAATGACCCCAGCATATTCCTGGCTAACTCTAACATCTTAATAAAGCCAAGTAATATTAACCTGTTATCACCGTGAGTCTGTGACCTATTGGCAATGTTCGGGCATTCAGGCATCTTTCTCCTTCGGCAGCTACATGGCATCTCTTTGAGTTTGCCTGCTTTCTCTCTACATCTCAGTTCAAATGTCCTACATGGCTTTGACCTGCTCAGTCATTGGCTGAAACAGATTTACTGATTAATGACCAGTGGTAATAAAACATATTCACAGCATACAGAGGGGACTCCCACATCATCCTAGAATCTTGAAAATTAAATTCCAGGAAAATAATCTTATTGCCACTAGAGCTTTTTGCTACAGCTATAACATTAAATAAGTAGTACCACTGACTTATAGCATATGTTGTATCTATGTCACATGTATTATTACGTAATTAGGAAACATAAATTAATAATAGTAAAGTTCTAAGGAAGACATCAAAGCCCTCTCTATATACTCATGGATAAAATCGCAGTCTTAAGTTTCTACAGTCAATTATAGTGTCTTCAAATATTTATAAATTTATAAACTATGTCTTTCCCTTCAAATATATGCATACATCTAAATATTATTCTGCATTACTATGTATGTATCTACATATCTACACATTCAGCTAAGCCTCTAAACTTCATGTATGCATGAATATCTATGTGTATCTACATCTTACCTGTGTGTGATGAATAGCGTTGTGTCCCAAAGGTTTGGGCAGCACTTACACTGCATAGCCATAATATCTCGAAATTTCCATATCTTTCTCCCTCTGAAGGAAAAGCTGTGGTTTTCCCAGAGAGGTACACTTGGCAGCATTCTCTCTCTCCTGTTGAGCCCGCCTCTTCATGGCCTCCCTCTCTGGCCTCTGCTCTTCAGTGATAGGCTGTGAGATGACTGGTCCCGGAATGTTGACTTTCTTCCAAGGAATTGGTAAGTGGCTGAAATCTTGCCGCAGGTATTGGGATTGAGGCTGGGGAGGATCTAGGGTCTTGTTTGTGGCAAAAGAAAGAGGCTCCCTGTGGAGTGAAGTGTGAGATGATGCTCTGTAGGGTGCAGGCAAAGAGGCAGGCGGTTGAGGCCCAGGGCAAGACTGGATGGGCTTGCTTCTAATTGGACGTGTGGCACTGGTGGCAACTGGCAGAGCCGACTTGTCAGAGGCCATCAGTGATGTGCTGGCAGGAGCTGGTTGGGATGACTTGAGTTTGGGTTGCCTAGCAGTGTGGGATTGAGACCTCACTGGGTAAGCTGTAGTGGGCCTGTGCGAAGCCAGGCAGTGAAGCTTTCTGGAAACAGGTCTGTCTTGAGGCTTGTCCAGGGCTAGGAAAGGCAGAGGTACTAATTTGACCTTCCCAGCTGGGGACAGCTCATCCAGGCACAGAGATGGACACCGCTTGGGAGCACTGCTCTCTGTTCTCTGAGCATTGCCCGGGATTCTACCAGGGCCTCGACCCTCACGGGGCGCATCTCCCAGGGATGTGGCGGTTGGGCCTGTCCTGGGATCTTTGTTGCTGCTCAAGTTCAGCAGAGCCCGGGAGGAGGAGACGCCAGTTTTCCTCTCACTCTTCTTCCCCAGTGGGTGAAAGACCTGCACAGACGCCAGCATGTGCATGCCGAGGTGAGTTCGAGGCTTCTTAAAGCTGTCATGGCTGAGCTCAGGTGGATTCCTCTTCCTCTTGGTCTTTGGGATGGCGGACTTCTCTTCTGCCTTGACTCTGTGACTTGATGGCTTCAGCTCCTCTGTTTTCTTGGAGCTGTTTCCTCTGGTGTCCTTGGCCTTTTCTTTCCCCTGTGCCCTTGCTACGCTGGGCCTCTTGGGTACAAATATCTGAGATTTGCTCTGCACGTGGTTGGCCGTGTTGTCTATGGTTCCAGGATCATCTTCCTTCAGCATATCCTCGTGATGGGTTCTGGCCTGAAGAGCTCCATGAAACACATCAGAGACTTTCTGGTTTTTCTTGAGGCCCAGTTCAGATAGTCCACTTAAGATGCTGGTGCGTGACTGGGCCTGGTCCCTCCTGATGTCTTTGGAGTCTTTGGTTTGGCTTGCTGTGTGATCTTCCATTTGGTCAAGGCCAGTGTTGAAGTTTAAGAGTTGGGGAAGGTGAATATCTGCCACCAGAGTAGTCATGTCTGCAAAGTCATTGCTAGACTCCATGACACTCTGCAGAGCCTCAGGGTCTTCCAGACCAAGGCTACTGTTTCCCAAAGTGGCATTTTGAGAAGCTAGCTTCTGCCTCAGGCTCCCAACATCACTGTAGTTCAAGGGCTGCTGCATGCCAGGGTATGCTGAAGGGAGGGGTGATGCGTCTTGGTTACATTTTGTGCCCTCATAGGAATCCAGAGGTGTTGATTGCTCAGCATTCATCTCATCTGCATTGTTCTTCTGTGTCTTTTCCAGGCTTGTGGCTGGAGGCAAGGCCAGGAATTCAGAAGGACTGTGCATGAGGGCAATTAATGACCTGCTCCTACTGACAGGTGCTGTCTTCATCTGGGCATCCTGGGTGCAGGCATTGCCGAGGTCTGGACTCTGCAGCAGACACAGTGTCTGCCCTGAAGGTGTCAACCCCAGGGTTGTCTCCCTCTCCACCACTGAAAAAGAGGAAGTTCGAAGTCAGTGCCTGGTAAGTGAGATGCTACCCCCGCTTTCAGTGCACCTGAGCACTGAGTCTCGTGCAGCAGTGTTGCAGGCATTGCTATGAGCTCTGCTGGAGGAGCAGGGAAAGCAGCCCTCTTTGGAGACACATAGTAACTACTCATTTGTTTCTCATGACCATGTGAGATCACGTTTTCTCTTGTGTTTGTGTGGTGTGTACATGCTTAGTGATCATGGGGAGGTGACAGATTCCTTGGTGTGCGCTCTTCCCTTTCTCCCCCATTTTCCTTTGAAACAGTGCCTCTCATTGCCTTGGGAGTTTGCTCTGAGACAGGTTGTGTTGCTCACTGTTTCCTAATCTTACTCATCTCCACCAGTTTCTTTCTGTTCATTGTATTACTCATATGGCCCCTGAAGCCTGGATTTTTATTTGGGTTTAGGTATCCATATCAGTTCCTCAATTCTGAAAGGCAAGCGGTTCAAAAGCCCTGACATTCCTTAAGGTTCACGTTTCACAGAATTTTTGTTAGTGATGTCAAAATGTAAGACTGTGAAAGCTTTGAGCTTCAACTTTGTAACAGAGAACATGTCTACATAGTCTTGGCCTTGGGTCACTGCTGAAGATTCAGAAAGAAAGAGTAAAAGAAAAAGAGAAAGTGGAAGAGAGATGTAGAGGAGGAAAAGAGACAGAGAAAAAGAGAGAGGTTGATCATGACAGATAGGGTGAGATGCTTCAACCCTGCTTATCAATATTACAAAGGTCAAGGCAGACTGTCACAGCGGACACTTGGAGTGTGGGAGAAGACTTCCTCCAGGACAGATTCAGGGTTCCATTTCTCTGGATACTAGTTTCAACTCAGGGGAAACTTAGTTGTAGAAAAACAGATAAAATTCTCGATGTCATCTAGAATCTGGAGACATAGATTAGGAAGGAGGTGATTTTAGTGAGCTGCTACATGGGCCTGATTAGCCTTGGCAGTGAAATGCATTCCTGTGGTGTGGTCCTTGGACATGTCTTAATGAAGGTTTAATATCACTCACTTTCCTGTATTCTCTCTCATTATAGAGACTGAATTTAGGGGTAATGAGCCTGAGCAATAGCCTACATGTCAGGACTCCCATTCTTCCTCTGTGTGGACATCCACTTCTGAAAGGTAGAGCTGTGTCTCCTCTGAGGGCTGATCTCACACCTCCCTTCCTGGCTTTACTCACCTTGAAGACTGGTGTCTGGCATGGTTTGAGCAGATGTGGGCCAGTAGATGGGACAGGTGGAGAAAGGTGTTTGGATGTTCATTGGCTGAATCTCCTGTAGTGCCTTCACCATCCCTGGGTGCAGAGAGGAAGCCTGATTCCCAGAGCAGGACACAGAGCCATAGGCCTGCAGGCACTGCCAGAATTCTTCAGCCATCGGAGGACCCAGGCTGTTCTGGTCATTGTAATAGACCTGACTTCCATCCAGGTAGCAAGGTGCCAGGATATATCGTTGATCTGGTAGATTTGATGGCGTTGCCTGTACAAGGCAGGCAGACAGTGTTGGATAGGATGGCGGTAATGCATTGATATGGAAAGTATTGTCACACTGGGCTGTTATAGACCTAGACGAGGGGGTGGTATTCTGGTCAATGACAGTTACAGGGGCATCCAGGAATGGAGCTTCCCTTCTGGTGGTGCTTTCTCTGAGATCCCAGTGGAGAACACCTGGATAGGAAAATGTCGAAGTAGAGATCTGGTTCTGGTCAGTTGGCTCAGTCAGCATGGTCGTGCCAGCTCGTTGGTAAAGACAGGCACTGTCCATGAGCTGCTGGCAGCATGTGCTGGAGTCTGATGACAGGAGCCATGCTGAGCTCACAGCTGGGGTGCAGACCCCATAGAAATTGCACACAGTTCCTGCTGAGGGTGTGGCATTCCTCAGCACAGGCACAGAGGGTTGCAGAGCACATTCTGTCCCAGTGAAAGGTGCACTTTGGCAATTTTCTGTAGGAAGCAAGAAGAGAGTTGGAAAAAGTTGAGATGGAAGCTTTCTACCCTCTGGGAGGGACTGTGTTATCTCCAGGTTGTACTGAGTGGGAGAGTCTAGCATCTATGTTCCCTTACATATGCCAGCAAATGGGTTAAGATTGATCGGTGGGGCTTTGAAGGATGACAATCACTAGATGAACTGTCTGCTTTTTCCTGTGTGGGCATGGAAATCCTGGTCAATCTGGCTTAATGCTCACTCAGATCTAGACACGATGCTCCTTTTTCCTGATTGTAATATAATAATGCCTGTTGGGACACTTCCTCACAAATATATTCTACAACAGAGGTTATTATTGGGAAGAGACCCATAGGCATATTCCATACCTGGAACTTTGTCCTGTTCTCTGCAGATCTTACATATAGAGTGACCTAAACTCACTCTACGTTGATCAGTCTGGCTTTGAAATCAAACAGACAGGTCTGCTTCTGCCTCTTAAGTGCTGGTGCTGGAGCTGGAGCCCCTGCCATGTCCACCAGGCCAATCTCTATTTTATTGAGTTTTTTTCTGAAATGATGTTTAACAAATGTGTACCAAATTGCGGTAATTATTCCTTCCCCCTCTCTCTTTTTTCCCCTTGCATTTCTTGTATAATTGAGGATCTCTTATAATCTTATAACTTTTAAACATTATTCAAATATGATTTCAGAAATACAACCTACTGACAACGTTTCTTCATGTTTGCATCAGTTTAGTGTGTCCTCTTGAGGCTGCTAATGTTTTATGGGGTTCATCTCTGAATATGATTGCTTCTCAATTTAATATCTGTTGATTAAATTGTTTTCTTAACAGCTCCTCAGTAACTGTTAATTTTTATATCTCTTCTAAGGGGGAATCCGTGTGAGAATCCCCCCTCACAACAGCGTGTCAGTTGCCATGGTCAGACTCTAACTGACTGGACTTCGCAGCCCCAGTTGGTCCTATCCAACACCACCAGTGCACATGAGACATGGGGAACTGGGCAGAAAGTGGTCTGGATGGAGTGTAAGAGCCAGGGACCAGATCAGGATATTCTTTCTATATGTGCCAGGGAACCTTTGTACAGACTAATCTGAACAGTACGTTTGGTTAAACATGGCTTGGGAAATGACAATGCCTTGTCTGTTTTGATTATAATCTGTGGTCGTCTTCAACATTGTGTTCTAAACTACCATTGTGGACCACCAGGGTCCCCTCTGCAGTGTGCCTTCATATATTTATATACTTTCTAGACCCGTACAGTGTTTGCCCCCTTCCCTGACTTCCTGTGGGTCTGTCCTTCCAGCAACACTGTCAATATTAATTTCAGTACAACAACTGCCTTCTCAGATTCCACAGTCCTGTTATTCTCTTCCACTCTCCATGTTTAATCCAGGGAAGTCCAAGTGACTGCACAACATGGCAGTCGCCATTTTGTCCATAGTCAATATTCATTTGGTGAGTATGGAGAGAGGCCAGTGTAGAGCATGTCAGACTTGAACTGATCTCCATCCCACCCAGTTCTCTCTGTGTTGTGATTATAGTTGTGTGCCACCATCTGTGGTGTGACCAATACTGTTAGAGTCGTCCTGAATTTTAAACTAAGACTGGAAACAGTAGTGGGGGGAGACTGTCTCATTAGTGGTGTGGAGTGCTAGATCTCTGCGTGCCTTGTTCATGTTCCCGTGTCTCTGTAGTTTAATACCATCCAAAAGAGCCTGATTTTATTCCCTCTTCACTTTCTTCTGAAAACCCAACAGTACAGGACCCAAGCATAGTGACACTGTTCACTCCTTGAGGCGGATGGAAAACACTTGAGAATAAACTTTTTGTCTAAAATCACCTACTTAGTAAGAACCAAAGCTAAATGTGACATTCAAATCTAGATATCTATATCAACATCAATACTATCCACATTCAGCAAAGATTTACTAGTATAGTAAAAGTCAATGGAGAAGATCACATGTTTTGAAGTCTCTATCCTTACCTGACATGGTCAAGGGGAGAGGATCAGCAATCCAAAGTACAATGGAGCAAGATAATCGGTCGGCTTTTTCTGATCAGCTGACCTCAGTGGCAAGTGTGTCCAGTATCAGACAGCACTCACTGGTCACTGGCCACCTGGACCTGTGATGATCCAAAGTTGTTTACAGTCATCACCATGGAAACACCAAGATTCTACCAGGTGCTGGTAGGGTTGGAGGGAGAATGATGTCATAAATGAGGCAACAGCCAATGGGAAGGTTCGATTCCTAACTAGAAGATGGGATTGGTTGGAGAAGATGCCAGGAGACCAACAGTAGCCATGGAGGCTGAGGTGTGGGCTAGTGAAAGAGGCAATCATGGCATGGACATGCCACTTCCCGTGGCGTTTAGCCTAGGCTATCATGGCAGTGCTCTTATAAGGTTCACTGATAATGTACACATGATGGGTCACCTTCCAACAGAAAGTGTCCCATCAGCCTACACTTACATACAGTGAGTAGTCTTGGGCAGGAGGGAGAACTGCTGTTGAGGGAACTCAGGTGATAGGCCATTCCAGTCCACCTGGCTTTTGTGCCATCAGCATCTGTCCATGACCCAAGGAAGAGATCAAAGTGTTCCTTTGTGACTATGTGCAAGGTCAGGGCTCAGTGTGCTGCGTGCATGTTGATGAACTCTAAGACACTTGTCTTCTTGTTGCTTCTGTTATTCTTTTTTGTCTTGTTTGTCTGTCTGTGGGGTTAGAGAGTGGAGACATTACGTGAGACACAGGGCGATGCGGGGTTAGGAAGGAGACACAGACACGCAGTGGTCCCACGTGGGTGCACTTTAATGGGGGGTAACAACAAGTAAGGGACAGAGATGAAAGGAGAGAAGGGCAGAGAGAGAGAGCGAGCTCGTGGTGACCCCTGTTTTTAACGGGGAACACACGGGCGTCTGGGAGAAATGCCCTGTGCCTTTGGGGCTTCCAGTCCAGGGGGATGCTGGGAGCTGTAGTCTCCAAAAGGAAGAACAGCTTCTCCTACAGTCCTTCCTTATTCTGTGCTGGCCCATGCTGGACTGACAACTCTCTCGTATTCTTTCATCCCTTCTTTGTATGTTTTTACTCTTGGACCAGCCTGACCCATCATCATTACACTCATGGGTGATGCCACTTTGATCTTCCAGATCAGTGGTCCACTGAGTATCATGAAGATGCTTTTATTTGGATGCTGCTGGTAGGAACAGGCAACATAATGGCTGAAGGTGGGCATGGATACAACTGTTCCCCTTTTCAGTCTCTTGTTGCTGTTGTGCTGCCTAGACTCAGCTACTCTGAATGGTTTTTAATTGATTATGTTTTAAAAAATTACCAATCCAAGTTACCACTTCTTCCCTTCTCCCAGTCCCTCCTCACATCCTCCCACACAACCCTTATCCAATCCTCAGAGAGGGTAATGCACACTGGTTTGTGGAAAGTCCAAGGCCCTCCCTACTATATCTAGGTTGAGCAAGGTATACATCCAAAGAGAATAGGATCCCACACATCTAGGACATGAATTTGGGATAAATCCTGGTGCCACTGCCAGTGACCCCCAGGTCTGCCCCAGCAAGTCAACTCTCAGCTACATTCAGAGGGACTATTTTGGTCCCATGCTTGTTCCTTCCCAGTTCGGTTAGTGTTGGTGATCTTCCATTAGTTCATGTAAACTGTTTCAGTGGGTGAACGCATCACGGTCCTCACCACTTTTCTCATATTCTTATTCTTTCTACTCTTCAACTGGTCTTTGGGAGCTCAGCTCAGTTTTCCGATGGTGTCTTCCTCTATTTTCATCAGTTGGTAGATGAAGTTTCTATGGTGATATTTAAGATATTCATCATTCTTACTACAGGACAAGTGAAGATCGGGCCACCTCTGTATTGCTTTGGGTCTTAGCCGGAGTCATCCAGGTGGATTATTGGGAATTTATCTAGAGCTACGTTTCTGCTAACCCCAATGTGTCTTTCAATCATGATATCTCTTTCTTATTTATTTATTTATTCATTTATTTATTTATTTATTTATTTATTTATTTATTAAAGATTTCTGCCTCCTCCCTGCCACTGCCTACCATTTCCCTCCCCCTCCCCCGATCAGGTCCCCCTCCCTTGTCAGCCCAAAGAGCAATCAGGGTTCCCTGCCCTGTGGGAAGTCCAAGGACCACGCACCTCCTTCCAGGTCTAGTATGGTGAGCATCCAAACTGCCTAGGCTCCCACAAAGTTAGTATGTGCAGTAGGATCAAAAACCCATTGCCATTGTTCTAGAGTTCTCAGTAGTCCTCATTGTCTGCTATGTTCAGTGAGTCCTTTTTTTTCTGGTTTTTTCGAGGCAGGGTTTCTCTGTGGCTTTGGAGCCTGTCCTGGAACTAGCTCTGTAGAACAGGCTGGTCTCAAACTCACAGAGATCTGCCTGCCTCTGCCTCCCGAGTGATGGGATTAAAGGAGTGTGCCACCATCGCCTGGCTAGCGAGTCCGATTTTATCCCATGCTTTTTCAGACCCAGGCCAGTTGGCTTTGGTGAGTTTCCGATAGAATATCCCCATTGTCTCAGGGTGTGGGTGCACCCCTCGCGGTCCTGAGTTCCTTGCTTGTGCTCTCTCTCCATCTGCTCCTGATTTTTACCTTGAGATTTCAGTCTGGTGCTCCAATGTGGGTCTCTGTCTCTGTCTCCTTTCATCGCCTGATGAAGGTTAATATTCAGGAGGATGCCCATATGCGTTTTTTTGGGTTCACCTTCTTATTTAGCTTCTCTAAGATCACAAATTATAGGCTCAATGTCCTTTATTTATGGCTAGAAACCAATTATGAGTGAGTACATCCCATGTTCATCTTTTTGGGTCTGGCTTACCTCACTCAGGATAGTGTTTTCTATTTCCATCCATTTGCATGCAAAATTCAAGAAGTCCTTGTTTTTTACTGCTGAGTGGTACTCTAATATGTATATATTCCACATTTTCTTCATCTATTCTTCCATTGAAGGGCATCTAGGTTGTTTCCAAGTTCTGGCTATTACAAATAATGCCGCTATGAACATAGTTGAACAAATGCCTTTGTAATATGATAGGGTATCTCTTGGGTATATTCCCAAGAGTGGTATTGCTGGGTTCAGGGGTAGGTTGATCCCGAATTTCCTGAGAAACCGTCACACTGATTTCCAAAGTGGTCACACAAGTTTGCATTCACACCAGCAATGGATGAGTGTACTCCTTACTCCAAAACCTCCCCAGCAGAGGCTATCATTGGTGTTTTTGATTTTAGTCATTCTGACAGGTGTAAGATGGTATCTCAAAGTTGTTTTGATTTGCATTTCCCTGATCACTAAGGAGGTTGAGCATGACCTTAAGTGTCTTTTGGCCATTTGAACTTCTTCTGTTGTGAATTCTCTATTCAGTTCAGTGCTCTATTTTTTGATTGGGTTAATTCACATTTTAAATTCTAGTTTTTTGAGTTCTTTATATATTTTGGAGATCAGACCTTTGTCTGTTGCGGGGTTGGTGAAGATCTTCTCCCAGTCAGTAGGTTGCCTTTTTGTTTTAGTGACAGTGTCCTTTGCTTTACAGAAGCTTCTCAGTTTCATGAGGTCCCATTTATTCAATATTGCCCTTAATGTCTGTGCTGCAGGGGTTATACATAGGAAGCGATCTCCTGTGCCCATATGTTGTAGAGTACTTTCCACTTTCTCTTCTATCAGGTTCAGTGTATTCATATTGATATTGAGGTCTTTGATTCAGTTGGACTTGAGTTTTGTGCATGGTGATAGATATGGATCTATTTCCATTCTTCTAAGGGTTGACATCCAGTTATGCCAGCACCCTTTATTGAAGATGCTTTCTTTTTTTCATTGTATACTTTTAGCTCTTTTATCAAAAATCAGGTGTTCATAGGATTGTGGGTTAAAATCTGGGTCTTCTATTCGATTCCATTGGTCGACTTCTCTGTTTTTATGCCAGTATCAAGCTGTTTTCAATATTGTAACTCTGTAATAGAGTTTGAAGTCAGGGATGGTAATGCCTCCAAAAGTTCCTTTATTGTATAAGATTGTTTTGGCTATCCTGGGCTTTTTGTTTTTCCATATAAAGTTGATTATTGTCCTCTCAAGATCTGTGAAGAATTTTGATGGGACCTTGATGGGGATTGCATTGAATCTATAAATTGCCATTTTTACTATGTTGATCCTCCCAATCCAAGAGCAAGGGAGAGCCTTCCATTTTCTGGTATCCTCTTTAATTTCTTTCTTCAAAGACTTAAAGTTCTTGTCAAATAGATCTTTCACTTCCTTGGTCAGAGTTACCCCAAGATATTTTATGCTATTTGTGGCTATGGTGAAAGGTGATGCTTCTCTGATTTCCCTCTCTGTTTCCTTATCCCTAGTGTATAGGAGGGCAACTGATTTTTTGGAGTTGATCTTGTATCCTGCCACATTACTAAAGGTGTTTATCAGCTGTAGGAGTTCTTTGGTGGAGTTTTTGGGGTCGCTTATGTATACTAATCATATCATCTGCAAATAACGAAAGTTTAACTTCTTCCTTTCCAATACGAATCCCCTTGATCCCCTTATGTTGTCTTACTGCTATTGTAAGAACTTTAAGCACTATATTGAAGAGGTATGGAGAGAGTGGACAGCCTTGTCGTGTTCCTGATTTTAGTGGGATGGCTTTGAATTTCTCTCAGTTTAATTTGATGTTAGCTGTCGGCTAACATCATTATATTTAGGTATGGCCCTTGTATCCCTTATCTCTCCAAGACCTTTATCATAAAGCGGTGTTGAATTTTGTCAAATGCTTTTTTGGCATCTAATGAAATGATCATATGGTTTTTGTCTTTCAGTCTATTTATATATGATGATTTTATTTATATTGATAGATTTTCGTATGTTGAACCAGCCCTGCATCTCTGAAATGAAGCCTACTTGATCATAATGAATAATTTTTTTGATGTGTTCTTGGATTCGGTTTGCCAGTATTTTATTGAGAATTTTTGTGTCGATGTTCA